TACAACATTAGTTTTTGAACAAAGTGTATAAAATATTTAAATATGCTTTTATCTATATTTCAGGAGTCCCTATCCCAGACTATAACTCCTGCTGAAGACGATGATTGCAGGAGTTTATTGAGTCGGGTGTTGAATATTCCTGAGTACTCTGGGCGTGTGAGGGGCAAGGGATTTGGTGTCACTCCATCCAAACTGTATAAGCAGCCAAGGAAAAAAAATCCAACCAATAAAGAAGTGATGGCTACTTTGGAGGAAATGAAAGATCAAATTCGTGAATTACAGAAGGATAAGGAGAGATACATGTCCGAAAGGCGCGCTCCAGAGGCCGGTAAAGCTACTAGTGACAAAGATAGTATCGGTTGTCCGCAGAAGCTTCCAGAGGTAATTGTATATATTACATTGAAATTAATTTAGCACATTTTTCTTAATTGACACATTAACTGATCATTATTTGTTTAAGGCATTTCACCTTGTCGACTATATTTATCGTCGCCGACTTATCGCATGGTTGGCAAGGGAAAGGTGCATAACACCCTGGGAGACTTACTTCACCATAAACCCCTCCCTGCTGGATTTTTGAAAGTATCCGTTGATATTGCATTAAGGGGGGGGGGAGTTGTTGCCTATGCCAGACGATGTATCAGACGCAACAGTGGTGGGAGACGCGATAGGAGCTTATGTAGCATGGCCGGCGAATCTCATTTTCATAGATGATGAGGTAGGTTGAACCTTGTAATATTCCAATGTTTTATTACCCATACATGAAAGTTATTCTGACATTTACACTTTCTTATTGACATGATGATCTTAGACTCCCACAAAATCCAAAACAAAAGATGATAAAATTATTGTGCGGGATACCGATTCAGCTGCATCAAAGTTACAGGTACTAGTACTATAGTTTAAGTGATTACTTTATTATAAATTATTTACTGAACTTATATATGACTTTTAGGTTCTTGATCAGCAGTCGCAACAAGTCAGCAAGGGAAACATGCCTGAAACTTCCAAGGTGCCCAAAAAAAAGGTCGAGACAAAAAAAGCATTTGTTCCTCAATTTAGGTCGTGCCTTCAAACATATGTAGGGACAACAGACGTGCCTGAGGGCGGCATCCGTCTAATACATATGGATCAAGGTATTTTCGGTTTTGAATATTCCGAAACACTTGCTAAGGAGGATTTCGACCAGGTTTTCAAACATTTAGAATTGGGCGTCGGGGTTATGCATTCCTACATCAGGTACTTCGATCCATTTTAATTAGATAATTGAACATTTTAAAATTCACTCGTTTAACTGAATAATCTAATGTTGATTATATTTTTTTTAGGCGCTTGTATGACAAGTTGTTGGTCCCCGCTGATTTGACTTCAGTATTTGCATTCTTATCTGCTAGCAGTGTCAACTCACGGACAATAGACCAGACACCAGAAGCAGTCAAAGAGTACACAGTCCAGAGATTTATGGGTGCGAATACGGAGAAGTTGTTTATGTTGCCATATAATACTGGCCATGGGTTAGTTTTTATTCTAAATTCATTTATTATAATTGTTCGATTTTTGCCATATTATATAACATTTCCGTCTAAACTGTTGTCTTATTTTATAGTGGTCACTGGTTGTTGGTCGCAATTAATCCGATTAAAGAAATAGTGTATTATATAGATTCATTGGATGGCGATACAAATAAATATGAAAATCTGAAGAACATGGTTGATACGTAAGTGATGATATATAGTGTTCTGAATAATTATATATGTTTATTTATTATGTGACATTGTTCTAAATATGTGTTTATATTATGTTAGAGTTATACAAATATACAGAGCACAGAGAGATGCAACAGTGCCAAAAAGCAGAGCTAGCAACATCAACTGGATCAGAGTGGAGGTATATTTTCCCATGTTTGACTGTTATAGTGGTTCTACTTATAAAACTATTTAAACTATATATCCTGATAAATGTTCGTTCGCTTTTTTCCTAATACAGTGTCCTCGTCAGCGTGGTGGGATTGACTGCGGATATTTTGTACTGCGCTTTATGAAGGAAATCATTCTTTCTGGTCAATTAGAGATTCCAATCATGGTATGGATCAATTCATGAGTTATATGATTCATTTTGATAATTAACTAATATTTCATCTGAGTAATTAGTATTAAATCGTGCTTGTTCTGTTATATTATGTAGTATTTTGATGAATTCAAATGCGCTACGTACTCGAAAGTAAAATTGGAAGAAATTAAGGAAGAATGGTGTCAATTTATGATTGAGTTAAGAATTCTATAATGTATATTGGATTTGTAATTATGTGTAAATTGTATATTGTATATTGTATAATGTACAATGTTTAAATTATGTGTAAATTATACTTGAGTTAATTATGTGTAAATTGCAAAGTGTTATTGTATAATGTACAATGTTTAGTTAATTGTGTTGAATTAAAGGCCAAGTGTTGAATTACAATGTTTAAAGGCCAAGTTATATTTAAGGCCTGAATTATAAGCAGGGAATTTAATTGTTATAAGCAGGTTTGTCTAAAAATATATAAAAAATGTGATTTTTCAAAAAAAAAAAAATTAAAAACGTGAAGTATAGACAGCGCTTTTACAAGAAAACGCTGCTAAAGGGAGAAAAATAGGCATAAAAAAGCGCTGCTATAGGTTAGGAAAGGAGGGGTCTAAGAAAGCGCTTTAAAAAAGCGCTGCTAAAGGGTGGTCTACAAAAGCGCTTTCATAAAGCGCTGCTACAGGGGGGAGGGGGAGGGAGAATAGGCAGCGCTTTGAAAGCGCTGCTAAAGGGGTAAAAAAGCGCTGCTAAAAGTGATGCCTTTAGCAGCGCTTTTTCCACACAAAAAAAACGCTGCCTTTACCTTTAGCAGCGCCACTTTAGGCAGCGCTTTAAAGCGCTGCTAAAGGTCAAAAAAAGCGCTGCTAAAGGCCATTTTTGGCATAGTGCTTGTGGGGTGTGAGCGATGGTTATTTATTGATTCCTCGGTGAATCTGCAGAACCTCGTATGTTGCGATGGTTATTTATTGATTCCTCGGTGAATTTGCAGAACCTCGTGTTCCCATGTGGGGTGTGAGCGATGGTTATTTTGGTTCTTCAATTGAACCTACTGAAATGAGTCGGTACCGCATTTACATCTGCATAGAGTCGTGTGTCGGTCTCTGTGAGTTGCATGTAGACATCAGTGCATGATGTATGGTGAATAAACATGAATGTAGATGTTTATGTAGATTGTTGATAATTGGCATGAATGGAAGGCTTGAATATACATGTATGTGTGAATATATGTGTATATGTATGCATGTTTATGAATCGATATAAACATTGTTGATGCACATTGTATATGCTTGGTGCTCTATTTGTAAATAGTTAATTGTGAATACATTGCGATGTACGGTGTAGTGAGATGAGTTGCAGTGAGAATGCGGAAGACGTTTTTGGGCGTTATGTGTGTGTGTATGTGTGTGTGTGTATATATATATATATATATATATATATATATATATATATATATATATATATATATATATATATATATATATATATATATATATATATATATATATATATATATATATATATATATATATATATGTTTATGTGCATTATGTATTATGATATTGTTTCTCACCCTTCTGCTGTTTTATAATGCTCTATGAGGCATTGCAGATTAGATTGCTGGAGTCTTTGTGAATCGAGTCTTCATTTCTTTTGGTCAGATGGCTCTGATATGTAACACTGGGTAGTTAGGAATTATCTTGATTCTTTTGTGATACATCTGTGTATGTATCTGCTGGTGAACGTTTTGTAAACTCAACCGATGAATTGAATTAATCTGAACGATGTATATGATGCTTATGTTAATGAAGTGATTTCAATGTTTAGATGTTTCCGCTTTATTCTAAATGTTGATGTGTGGGTTTTAAGCGCTATGCTTTGTTTTTAGTTGAGATTTACCCCTTTTGTTACATATCTTCGTGAGCTGGTATTATTTATGTTTCGTTTCAATGATAATGTGATGCGCCTCTTTTATACCATGTCATAATTATACTCTGATAAAATTATGAATTTATGCCTAATTGATTATTTGGATTATTTGGGGTATAGAAAGGGGGTGTTACAGGAAGTCTTGTGCTCGACACAGATGAGAAAGGTTCTGCCCGACGGGGGCAGTGTCTGGTCGACGGGCAGTCTTATACTCGACACAGATGAGGATGACTTCTTTGAGCCTTCTCCCAAGTGTATGTGGGTTGGGTCTTCCCGATCAGCCCGGGGCTCAGGCCAGAACAAAAATTAATAAAAATATAATATTTGTTTGATAGAATCCAAGATGATATATTTAGTTTACTAAAATATTTATGGTAGATCAAATGATTATGTTGAAATGCATGCACAAAAAATTAAACAAAATATTTTAAAAGATAAAGAATTAAATTGATTAAGATAAATTATGCTAAAATAAAACTATAAATTAATAAAAAAATATTTTGAAGATAAAATAAAAATAGAAATAGATGGATAAATATTTATGTTAAATAAAAATTTGTTGATGTGTGAGTGACATGCACATGATAAATCATTGTTTTTAAAAATTTATTAAAACAAATAATGTTATAAAATAAAATATTTAATATACATAATCTTAAATATGTCTAGTTGTTAAGATAATTACTCTTGAAAAAATATGAGATGTACTACACCAGTCATACTGATTTTTTAAAATGAATTTAATGATAGTGTACTGTTAAGTCTAAAAAAATATTATATATATATATTTATATTTAATCATAATATTTTAAAGAGTAATTTAGTGTGGAGAGTAACATAACCACATTTTAAATTTTAAATTTAAAAATAAATATAGTTATTTAAAAAAAAAAATAGGTTAGTTGGTCGATAAGGAATCGTAGATGGTATAAAAAAAGTTAAACCTGAAAAAAATTATAAAGCGTTACTCTGAAAGTCAGTCCCCTAGCCTTCTCCTGATGATAGCATAGATGACGGCGGGCAATAGAAGAAAAGAGTCTGAAGCAATTGTAACATCACTGCATCTTCCGTTCGATCTGGTGACAGAAATACTGTGTAGACTCCCCGTCAAACACCTCGTACCACTCCGCTGCGTCTCTAAATCATGGAATTCTCTTATCTCCGCAGATTCCAAGTTCGCCAAGAAGCACCTCCGCTTGTCAACCTCCAGCCACGACCGCCACCACCTCATCCTAACCCCTACTCACTCCTCACCTGAGTTCCCTGTTTTATGTTTCCCAATATCCTCTATCTTCAGCTCCACATTCACTACTACTGTCAAACAGTTCAGCTACTCTATTAGAGAGATTCTTATCAAAGGAGCCTATGCTAATAGAGCTTCCACTTGCGACGGCATGCTATGTTTTAAGATAGATGCTTCTTCCGCTCTCTTGTGTAACCCTTCCATTAGAAAACTCAAAATATTGCCTCCTTTGAATCTTCCAAAGCAATTATTTACCTTATATACGTTAGTGTATGATCGTTTCACCAATAATTATAAGATTATTGTTATCTATAGTACCCTTGGTAGAAAATATGAAGTCAATGTTCATACTGTGGGGACTGATTATTGGAGAAAGATTCAAGACTTCCCAAATCCTCTGTTTGCTCCTGTACCGGGAATATTTGTGAGTGACTCTGTTTATTGGTTGGTATATGATGGTGGTGCTGATGTTACACCATTAATTGTTTCTCTTGATTTGGAGAAAGAGTCCTATCAAAACCTTTCATTGCCCTTCAAACATGCGCATTTTACAACTTCTTTAGGGACATTGAGAGGTTGTTTGTCCCTCCTCTCTCAAAGGGACAAGTTTTATGATGTTTGGATTATGAAAGAATATGGAAATGAAAAGTCTTGGACTAAATTGTTAAGTGTTCCATACATGAAAGAATGTGAGGTAACCAGAGCATTAGATATTTCAAAGAATGACCAAGTGCTGATGGAGTTTCATAAGGATGGAAAATTTAATTTGGTGGTTTATGATTTCATAAATAATATTTTTAAGACTTCTAAATTTCAATACAGCAGAGAGTATGCGACGACACTACAAGTATATGTTGAGAGTTTGATATCACCTTTCTAGATGTTGTCTGTTTTGTCATCTCCCATTACATTATAGTATAGTTAACAATTATTCAAATCTTCCACCATAGATTATAAATTTCTCTTATTATTTACTCTACTATGCTCAATTTTGTTTTCTATATCATTGGTTGTATAAATTTCTCTTATTATTTACTCTACTATGCTCTTATTATTTACTCTGTTTATTGGTTGGTAATTGATACGGCTGCTGGTACACAGTTCATTGTTTCTCTTGATTTGGAGAAAGAGTCCTATCAAAAGCTTTCATTTCCTGTCAATGATGTGCAATTCACAACTTCTTTTATGATCTTAGGGACATTGAAGGGTTCTTTGTCCCTCATCTCTCTAAGGGACAACTTTTATGATGTTTGGGTTATGAAAGAATATCGAAATGAAAAATCTTGGATCAAATTGTTAATTGTTCCTCCCATGGTAGAATGTGATATTTATGGCGATACCAGAGCATTATATATTTCGGAGGATGACAAAGTGCTGATGGAATATTCCAAAAGAGGGGAAAGTAGTTTGGTTGTTTATGATGATTCCATAATAATTTTAAGGTTACTAATTTTCAAAACAACATCGTGGCACAAGAAGTCTATGTTGAAAGTTTGACATCAACTTTGTAGATGTTGTGCTATGTGACCTCGTTTAGAGACTCAAATGCAGCTAATAGGTTAACGAATCATCTTGTTATTTATTTTATGCTTATTCTTATTACTATTGACTTCATGGGTTACTTTTAATTTATGGTGTATGTAGCATGTGACTTGAGAAGTCCCTATTAACAATCATTTTGTTTTGGTACTAATAAATCTCTCTTTAATTTACTCAAGACTCACATTTTGTTTTGGTAGTAGTGCACTAATGGGCTGTATCTTACATGTCATATGTCACTAACTTCACTTCACAATACGTTTTAGCTTACCAAAACATTTTTCATTAGGATTGCTCGGCAATGTGTTAGTATGAGTCGATCACTTGGCATGTTGCGGTTCTATTGTCTCAGTCTATATAATTGATGGTTAAAATAATGATGTTGCATAGGTTTCAAAAGTGCACTAATATGTTACATAATTGGTTTTAGAAAAGCTAGCCGTTTCTTGAGTTTGGGTCACATTTCTGTTAAAATCTGCAATGATAAACTAATTTAATTATTATTTATTTAATCAAACATATCTTCATACACGATTGGTCTCGTATCTTACTTATTTTCCAGTGACAATGATTAGAGCATAGTAATGTAATGCACAGTTGCACCACCATGGAGCCTTGATAGTACCACTCTGTGTCACCACTATTGTGAGAATGCACCTCTCTTTTATTTACCTTTTGTATCTTATGATTCATTATTTATTTAAGGATTAGGCATTTCTCTCTCTTTTAATTAACGATGTGGATCCTGTGCTGATTGAAAGTGATTAGGTACGATGTTCTTGAGAGTGAAAAATTGTATCGGTTTTGTCTGCAACAGGATCTTATCCTAATCCTACAACACATTAGAATATCCAGTCATATTATTGATGCAATATATGATAATATTTAAATTAAGTAATTGAAAATGATTCACATTTGAATAAATTCTAGAGTAGACAAATTATATTAAAGATTTGAATTGTCTGAATATCAAAAGTTCATAAGAACTTGCTCTGAAACTTAAACTTGTACCAGTTTTCTTCATTCATTCTATTTACATTTCCTTCCATCTTGTTTTATACCATAACAGTTAATAGTCTCCCTTCATTGAACTCAAAATAGCCTTCTCTCTATGGATCAATAGATACCTTCTCCTAAAAGTCTCTGTTTGGTGTTTGTTAGAAAGCATGTTCCAAATGGATTCTTGCATCAACAACTTTATCAACAATGTGTTGACAGCCAAGTTTGCATCTGAGCTAATATGAATGAACCATGTGCATCTGTTATATATCAATGCTCAATTACAGCTTTCATATAATTACTTGCTGTATATCATCTCTGCTTGAGAAATTGTCTGCTCCAGATATTTATAAGTTTTATGATATTTGGATACGCCCATAAGCCAGAAATCAAAATTGTCAACTGTAACTATATTTATATACTTGTGTCTTGGCTTCTCAACATTTTCACTTTGCCTCACACTCTTTATCTTCTTCACTGGAATTGAAACCTGTACATATATATATGTCTGTAAGAATCTTAACAAAATATTGGAATACGAAAACCGAGAGCTATGAATAGGTTTGTTCATGACATACCTTATAGCGGATCCTACACATTTGCCCTTTCTGATTAAAGACTTTTATGGATCTGTCACTGCAAAAGGCAACCTTTTCAGTTGAGATGAAGAGGAAGCCAGCTAGAGGGCCAGATGTGGTGGACAGATAACAATGGCAAACTTTCAATAACCTCTCCCCCTCCATCACACTGAAATACTTCATCAACACTTTCTCCACTCCACCCATTTGAAGAATTCGAGCCCCTAAGCTCAACTTCCTTTTAATAGTTTCTGATATGTTTGACCCTAGTCCCACTGAAATTTCAGAATTACTATCGGCCTTCCTGCTGCGCTTCTTTTGGTTAGAACTTGCTCTACCTGAAACATTGAAGCACTCTATATTAGTATAATCATATATACATAATGAAATTTGATTAGATAATCGTGATTTGTTTGTCTGTATAGGAAAAGAAAGTCTTACATATGCTTTGATGTTTGGATGGATATTGACATTGATGAGAGGCGTAATCAAGTAAGCATCTGTTATCTGATTTTTGAAACTGGTCATATATGATTGGAGTTCCAACAACTAGCTCGTGAAGAAGTGAGTTCTGCATGTTGAATGATTAGTAAGGTTTCTGTTTTGTTGAAAGGAAGCTAGGCTCAGCTTGGTTTGATCAGTCCCTTTGTATTCTAAGGAGGTAGTATTTAAAGGGATGAAAAGTAGGAAGTGAATCTTGAGCCTTTTGTGGGATGACTCAACCATGATCTTGGTGATGTAATAAAGACACTACTTACATGGGAACTTGAAGGACTTTATTCAAGATAATATTTTTATATCATGGATTGTTTGGTTGCTTTTAGAAAAAGACGATAAAGAAGAAACGATTTATTTTTAGAGGCTTAGAGAAAAGTTTGTATATCTTGAGGAGCAAGAGTTCGTGGTGTATATGACATGCTGTCGGCCAACCCTTTGGAGAACTGCACTGTTTTGGAAATTAAAACAAAAAAGAGTAAAAGGATGAAGTGGTTTTCAACAGCAGAAACTTTAAGAGTTGGCATTGTAACTTTGTGATGATAGACTTGTCTAATTTCTATTACAGTAAGGCAGGTATTGTAGTAAGTTATTTGGTGAGTGACGTGGTAATTATTTGGCAATATTCTTATTTGAGAAACAGTGACACATACATCAACATTAGTAGCAAATATGAAACACCGACACATACAAAAACATCAGAGACAACACTGACGCATCGACACAAATAATAATTTAAAAATTAGTGATGGAATATAATCACTATTCACATGGGTGACCACTAGATACACATGTTAATCAGGAAATAATCTTTGCCGTGATTGTGAATAGCTTACATTTATAGAATAGGAAATTAGTCATTATGAATTTAATTAGTTATTATAAGCTGTAATTATTATTATTATAACTATGATTATTATAATTATTATTATAATAATAACCAAATAATATTAATGAGATTGTATCTGGTGACTTAATAATTTAGATGGCTTCCGAAAAAGAAAGAGATAATTTTTGTGTTCGTTTTACCGGTAAGAATTATTCAATATGGGAATTTCAGTTCAAGATGTATGTTAAAGAAAATGGATGATGTTTCTAAGGCACCAACGAAGAAACATCATCTCTTTACTTTTTGTTATCTTATCAAAAAAGAAGTTAAAGAAGGGTGACATCACAAAGTTAAGAATTGCATGTGCACATAATAAGATAGGCTAGTGCCATTCTTTCATTAGCATTACTGCCCAATTGCTGAACAAGTTATTAGGATGAATCACTTACTGATGTAACAAAGACACTACGTTAGCATGGCAACTTGAAGGTGTTTTGTTAAAGATGATATTTTGACATCATGGATTGCTTGGTTTCTTTTAGAGAAAGGTTTACGTATCTTGAGGAGTAAGATTCCATGGTAATACGTATATGACATGTTGTCGGCCAATCCTTTGGAGATTGTGGTAATTAAGCAAAAGCCAAAGCCCTCATCATAGAATTTGTTGTAAAGGACTTACTGAAAAAGGTTTTCATTTCATAGGAAATAAATGTAAGGGTATATGATAAGTGCCTTAGAGTCACCCATTTTCACAAGTTGAACCAGTACCGCCATATTGTTGTCGTGTTAATGCAGGTCCATTTGGAATGCACATGGAAATGAAATAAATGTAAGGGTATATGATAAGTGCCTTAGAGTCACCCATTTTCACAAGTTGAACCAGTACCGCCATATTGTTGTCGTGTTAATGCAGGTCCATTTGGAATGCACATGGAAATGATGTGGTGGTGATTTCCTATTTCAGAAACATGTGCTCCATGTTTCTTCAAATTAAGCTAAACCATTAACTACTACTTGAATATATTTGATTACATTTTTGATTTTGTTACTGTTAACCAGTCATAAAAGAAGATGTGTATTCCTGTAATGTATAATAAATCTTATAATATGAGTTGAAGTAAAGTAAAGAGGAATATATATGGTCATATGAACACGAGTCAATGGTCTAAAAGCTAGATTTGGTATTAACAGGGCGGGCTAAACTTGAGACACAAGACATACCTGAATTCTCATTTGATTTATGATCAAGATCAGTGGAAAGATGATTAAAACTAGGCATAACAGTTGAAGGTTGAGATTGAGGTATCAAATTTATCTGTTGTAGAAATCTAATCACATGAGAATATGGTTCACGAGTAAGACTGGGTTGGTTGCATGATGAACCTTCTTCACCATCATTAGTGTTGTAAGCATTGGCAAAAGCCAATTTCTTTCCAGAACTAAGAGTCTTAAGAGTCCCACATCGCACAATTCTACAAGGCGGTTTTGTAGGATTGAGTTAGTTCCAACCACACATTTTTAAGATGGTATCAGGGCCTCATTTAAGATCCATTGGACCACCCACCATTTATTTCCACGCTCCAGACGCAAATCCTAGGCTTGAGAGGAGGTGTTAAGAGACTCACATCTGACAATCTATGGTCTGAACATGTGTTCATAGGTAGGGGCAATCCTCACCCTACAAGCCAGTTTTGTAGGGTTGAGTTACACCTAACCACACATTTTTAAGAAGGATACATCTCTTGCTCAACACATTGACTCACATTTGCATTAGTGAACATACGGGCATAAATTTAGAGCCTTGTTTGAAATTATCAATTAGCTTTGGCAAATCATTCTTTGAGTTCAAACCACACATTCAATGCATTTTCTAGAAAGACAATAGTTTGGGCAATAGGTTTGATGACTGAATTAAGAATCTATGAATGAACAAGGTAATTGTAACGTGCATTGAAGTTAGCTGCTTAATATCATTGTACAATTCAACAGGGATCATGCTAAAATGTTCAGTGAAGCCTTATCTAGATTCAACAAAGATTTTCCAAATATAACTTCAAAGAAGAGATCTAGAGCAGACACTTTTTCTACTGACCGTAAAATAAAGCAAGCAACTAATAAGATCTCTATGCTAAAAATTGATGGCTCCATTATCACTGATCCCAATTTAATTACGGCTCATGCAGTTAATCATTTTTCTAACCTTTTTTCTTCTCCTAATTGTGTGCAGGATAATCATATTATTGAAGACACAATTCTCTGTTTGATCTCTGACCATACTAATACCAATCTTTCCAAGTCTCCCTCCCCTGATGAGATCACAGATGTTGTCTTTGCTCTTAACAAAAACAGTGCTCTTGGTCCACATGGTTTTAAAGCCTCCTTTTATCAATCTTTCTGGGACATAGTGAAATCTAATGTCATTGCTGCTATTAATCAATTCTTCACTCAAAATTGGATTAGCCTAAACTGGAATGCTGGCACTATTATTTCATGGTATATTTATGAAGAACTTTTCTATTGAAAACATGTAATTGTATTTGAGATGCATTAGGCTATCTTTGTTGTTTCAAACTAACAACTCTTTTTGAGTAATTGTGTTCTTTTTGGTTGGATAGAGATGAAAATAGACCGGGCGAACAAGGTTATAAGAGGTCAAATTTCCCGGTTAAAAATATTCATAGAGATTTGAAGTTGGAAATATACAAAGTCAGAAGAATCTAAGCTTTTACTCTTCTTTTGCAGCAAATATGTCATAGAGATTTGAACTTGGAAAATACACATTTAGCAGAGAACTATTTTGCAGAGAACTGTACAATGAACAACCCTAATCATGTCAATTATGGAAATAGGAGTATAATGTTGTCATTTGATGTGTGATAACCTATTTTTACAGAATTTTGTCATGTCTGGATTGCGTTGCAACTCTACGCCTGAAAAGGATACGCCTGGAAAGGGTAATTTGATATAGATTTATTAATTCCTAACACAAATTTTTCGTCTCATTTTGATGAATTTGGTTTCTTTCCTGCTTTCTGAATTGACAAATTGTAGGTGACTGCTAATTGTTGGTGCAAAGGTAGAATTATTCTATTAAGAATGACGGCAGAAGAAACAGGATTAAAAGTTACAATGATTGTCACCCTATTTATAAGCTAAAACTAGGGTTACTAGAATAAGATAAATACTAAAATACCCTCTAACAAACTTATGGGCTTAAGAAAGTAATATAATAAAATATGAATTATTACTAATACCATCCCTTAATTCATATTCCATCAAAACTTGTAACACCAATTCCATCCCTTAATCTGAGAAATTGATCAGTCTTGATAGCTTTCGTCAGAACATCTGCCAACTGCTTCTGAGTGCTGCAGTGTACAACTTCTAACACTCCACTCTGAACTTGATGTCTTAGAAAATGATACTTGGTCTCAATATGCTTGCTTCTCCCATGCAACACTAGGTTTCTGGCAAGATTGATTGCAGACTTGTTGTCAATCATCAACTTCAGAGGTTTGTCTACTTTAATCTTCAGATCCTGCAACAGATTCAGAATCCACACAGCTTGGCATGCAGTAACAGCACCTGCAATGTATTCACCTTCACAGGTTGACAACGCCACAACAGGTTGCTTCTTGGAACACCAAGAAATGGAACCTCCCAGAAATTCGAACAAGTACCCAGATGTACTTCTTCTGTCAACTCTGTCTCCACACCAATCAGAGTCTGAATAACTCAGAAGTTCTGACTCATTATTTCCTCCAGAGAGAAATAACACTCCATACTTCAGAGTTCCTTTGATATACCTCAGAATCCTGACAGCAGCTTGGTAATGGGACCACTTAGGTTTACTCATGAACCTACTAACCATCCTAATTGAGTAGCAAATATCAGGTCTGGTATTGCACAGATACCTCAGAGAACCAACCAACTGTTTGAAGGTTGTAGCGTCCACATCCTTTCCTTCAGAGTCTGAATCCAGTTTCTGATTTGTATCAGAAGGTGTGGCAGCCATCTTACAATTCTTCAGATCAAATCTCTTCAGAAGTTCTAATTCATACTTGAGCTGATGCAAAATGACACCTTTCTCAGAATATCTGAACTCCATCCCTAGAAAGTATGTCATTTTGCCTAGATCAGTCATTTCAAATTCATTCATTAGAACCTTCTTGAACTTGGCTACCTCCTGTTCAGAACTTCCAGTCAGCAGTATATCATCAACATATAAACATACCAGAGTCATATTGCCTTCA